TATATTTTCATTCTTCTTTTCAATCTTGCAGACTGACTTTGAACTTCTTTTGATAGAGCTTTAGCCAAACATCTGACCCTTCATAATCAAATCGCTTATAGGTTCCATGGCATTTGTTTCCTTTTTCATCAAGTCCAGATGGTGAGTGTTCTACTTTGCCCAGTTTTCATCAAGAGCTGCCTTAATCTCCCTTCAGACTTCAGATCACGGGGCTGGAGGTGCTGACAGTAAGGCCATCCTAAAGAAGTGGTGTTGCCATTGACACTTCTTTGCCTGCCGCAAATCTCTGCAAACCATGTCGAGACAGATTGGGACACGGCTTGAATATCTACCAGGCTAAGCTTGGAAATTTCTTGATGGATCTCAGTTGACAGTTGCAGTCCTGTGGTTTATGCAACATTTCCCAAAATGTATTCCTAAATGCTGCTGTATATTAATAAATGTTACAAATAAAAAGTAGTCCATAGTCAAATTTGTAAAATTCTGGGTTAATCAGTGTTGAAGATGTGTCTTTGCTCTCTGACTTCTCAGAGCCCTTAAATACACTACTATGTATTGTGAACTTCCAAGAGGGAGATTGTGTCTTCTGGATCCCACACTTTTTCCTGTTCTTGCACATCATAGGACTATTTCATCAGACTGCATTTGAGGAAATGCAGGTCTAATTTTAGTTTCCAGTATAAACATTTTTGACAGGTTCATTTTTTTCCCATTAGCTTTCTTTGATCCCAGAATCAATTTTAACTCTGAATATTTTGTTCCAAGAATATGTTAATTTCTGTATTTTCTAGTAGTACTGTAGAAGACCAGTTTAAATTTTATCTTTGCAAACTATTTTGAAAGTTCTTTAATATTTAGAGCAGCCTGGAGTTTTCGTAAAGTTACATAGTTTCTTTTTTCCATAGTAGGAAATTACTGTCCTCAGTATTCAACGATTATTTTTACTGAGATTGTCACTAACTGCATTTATTTTGGAAATATTTATTTAGTGCATAGCCTCAGTCATAGGATGAACAATGTTCCCAGTCTGCCAGGCCCTGAGGCAGTTCCCAAGACACAGGACTTTTGGCACTAAGTCTGGGCAAGTCTTAGACAAATTGGCACTAGTGTGTTAACCTCTGAAATGTAGTGGTAAATCAGAGATGAGTTTCATGCTTCATGGAGTTTATATTCTCGTGAGGGTTGAGAGTTACAGATAATAAACAATTAAGCAAGTTAGAGGGTAACCTTGTATGAAAAAAATCAAATGGAATATTTTGATAGACTTGGTGGGAGTAAGGTAGGATAGAGGTGGTCAATGAAACTACCTTAAAAGGGGGACAAGACAAGGATCTCTTGGAAGGTGACAAGTTTATGCAGATCAAAATGATGAGATGAAACCAGCCATTAAAAACAAAAAAGAAAACAGAAAAACAAAACAAGTAAACATACAAACTATGTAGCAAGAGTATTCTAGGCAAAGGAAACAGCGTGTATGAATGTCCTGAGGCAAGAACAAGCTCATTGTACCCAAGAATACAAGTGTGAAAGGAGGTTCTGTCAGGGAGGGCCAGATCAGATAAGACCTAATGTCATGGTATGGGATAATGATTATATTTTAGAGATAAAGAGAAGTGCCTGGAGGATTTTAGTAATGACATGATGTTTTAAATAAAAAAAAAAAAATCATTCTAGTGAATGAGTGGAAAATGGAATTACTGGAGAAGTCCAGGTGAGAGATGATGGTGGCATAGAGAATGACATGGAGGGGGATGTGCTTTGGAAATATAATTGACAGAAACTGTTTATGGCTGATATCTGGGTTGTAGATAAAACAGATGGTTGGAGGTATCGCTTATGGAAATGGAGAGTATCAGAATAGGTATGGCATTGGTAGGGAAGCCATCTGTGGATCAAGAGTTCTGATTCGGGAATGTAAAGCTGAATTGCAGGGCAGCAAGCAAATGGTAATGTCAAGGAGAGAGTTGGATATAGAAGTCTGGCCTTTTTGGAGAGGTCAGATATAAAGCTATTTTTCTGGAATCTGTCAGCGAATAGACAGTATTTAAAGCGATGGGACTACCTAGGTAAAGAATTTACAAAGTGAAGCAAAAAGGGCCCATGACTAAGCCTCGAGGTTCTCCAACATTTAGATATTGTGTTAATTATTTTGAAGAACCTGACTGCCTCAGTCCAGACTGAAAATAAGGATTAGCCAAGGTCTATTTGGAACCATCTTGGAGAGAGTGCATTCAAATTACTCGTGGCCAGCTTTGGCTTTTAAAAAGAATTATCTGTAGAATGAAAGAAATAACCCATCAGGCTAACATAGCTAGATGAAAATTCCTCCTGAGATCGTCCTATTTATTTCCTCTGTCCTCATTTGATGGTTACATTTTAGATAAAAGAAAACTATGGTTCCAAGAAGGTAGTGAGTCCAGAAGAGCACTTATGAAGTCATTAAACGACAACATAACTAAGTCTGGAAATTGCTGACACTTCTATGTTTGATTTGTTCCAAATACAATCCATTAAAAAGAAATACAATTAAAAATATCTACACCATTCTTTGAAGTATATGAAACAGAGGAAAACATGCTTTAAAAAGACGTAGGTTCTGGATCCCATACGGGCAAATAGGAGTCAGGGCAGGGCTTTCATGGAAAGGGACCTTCAGGGTCTATCAAAATTGTTGCGGTTCTCTTGACAGTATATCCCTTTCACGGAGAGAGGTGGTTCATCAGAATGTTACAGGCTGATGAATAATTCGTTACAGCCATGTAATTTCCTGTGTTTTGTGTTTACTAATGCTTTGGAAATTTATTTAGTTTTCTCAAGTCATTTTTCCCAGTGGGAAGAAAAGGCATCAATGAGCAGTATATTTCTCATAGAAAATTAATAAATAAATTGGAATTCTTGTAGAAATTAGTCTCTGGAGCTCAGGGAACATGAGAAAATTTTCTCAGGACTGTGTAATCCTGTGAGCCAAATGTCCAGGTTCTGAACCCGAGAGAAGTGAATGGCAGAACCCGGCTAGTGAGGTTATCTGAGAAGGCTCAGGATGCTCCACAGCTGTCTTCACCTTACGGGCCCAGGTGAAGTTTCTTGCTTCCCTGGCATCTGCTTCAAAGCATAGTTGGAGGATTTGCCTCCAAAACCTGTTTGCAGTTTATGGTCTGTGATGTGCTGTGGCTTTTTTATTCTGGCCATTCTCTTTGTATTGAATTTTAGGCCCTCCCTTGCTACTGCAGATGCACTATGCCCACCTTCTCACAGGGATCAAAACTGGGGCTCCCCAAAGCCACTCCATCTGCATTCTAGAGCTGGCTCCGTCTCACCTCTTGTCTTCCCCAGATGCCTTGAGATTCATCATAGAACTCCAGGCAATGTAGCCCTGAGGAGAGGTCATTAAATCAGCTTGCTGGATTTATCTAGGGCTTTTTTCAGTTTTCTGGAAATTAGTAAGTGTCAAGAGAACTTAGATGATCTGAGCCAATGTCTTTGAACCTTATATCCTTTCAAATGAGCACCCCTCGAAGTGCTGAGCTTAGTGGTGTGAGTTTCCTAGGGCTGTCGTAACACAGTCCCCAAACTGGGTGATTTAAAAGAACAGAAATTTGTTGTCTTACAGCTCTGGAGCCTACAAGGCTGAAATCAGTGTGTCGGGAGGACCGTGCTTCCTCCAAAGGCTCTATGGGAGAATTGTTCCTTGCCTCTTCCTAGCTTCTGGTGCTGGCTGTCGATTGTTGGCATTTCTTGGATTGCAGCTTTAGTCCATCGATCTCTGCTTCTATTAACACATGGCATTCTCCCCTTGTGTGCCTGTGTTTCTGTATCTATTCTCCCCTTCTTATAAGGAAAACAGTCATCTGGGTTTGGGTCAACCCTAACGACCTCATCTTAATTTGATTACATCTGCAAAGACCCTGTTTATAAATGAGGTCATATCCACAGGTACCAGGGTAGGACTTCAACATATCTTTTTTGGGAGACACAATTCAACCCATAACAGTTGGTATGGAGACTGGACTTAAGCTCTAGAGCAAGAGTTGTGGAAGCATTCCATCATTACGTTGACATGAAGATAGGGACCTGGCTCCGCTCAGGTATTCTCAAACATGCGCTGTTTCCTCAAAGAGGACTCTGCCTCTTAACATTGTAGCAGAATAAGGTTTTATTATTCTTTCATCCTTGGAAGTTTATTTTGTCCTGTACCAATAGTTCATTGGGATATCTAGACATAATACATGAACTCCCCAAGTAGATAAAATAAAGAAAAAATGTATGGATTTATTGACTTTTGAGCTTCAGGAGCTAAGGACCTTGAATAAAACAATAAAGTTTGAAGAATGCTTCCTCATACAAATTTTTCCTGCACCAGTAGAGATGAAAATTCTAAGGTCTTGGGAGAAAGGGAAGAGCTCTAGAGAACAAAGATAATCGAAGGAGTTGCTGGTATGGATCTCAGAGAGGGGACCCCAGCCCTGCTTCCTGGAGTTGGCAAGATCAATAGAATTCCTATATATACACATGCACACACACACACACACACAATGGAATATTAGCCGTAAAAAAGAATGAAATCCTCCCATTTGTGATGACATGGATGGATCTAGAGGATATATGCTAAGTAAAATAACCCAGACAAAGAAAAATGCCATATAATTTTACTTATATGTGAAATCTAAACAAAACAAAACAAATGAACAAACAAAACAAAACAGAAACAGACTCATAGATACAGAGAACAAATCAGTGGTTGCCAGAGGGGAGGAGGGTGGGAGGAAGGGTGAAATAGGTGAAAGGGATAAGATGTACAAACTCCCAGTTATAAAATCAATAAGTCATGGGGACGTAACATACAGCATAGGGAATATAGTCAATAATATTGTAATAACTTTGTCGGATGACAGATGGTAACTAGTCTTATCAGGGTGATCATTTTGTAATGTAAATAAATGTTGAATCACTACGTTGTACACCTGAAACTAATACAATGGCATATGTCAATTATACTTCAGAAAAAAGAACGGTCCTGCTAAGGTGATAACTGCAAACCAGTGAAGTGATTGAAGCTATTGAGGGCGCAGAGGAAAACTGCTGCCCAGAGAGGTCACTGGAAGCCGTCTCTGAGGGTCCTCCTCCAGTGATTGCAGAGGTGGGTCTGGGTGAGCATCCCTGGGGACAGAACGTGCTGAAGAAAGCATTTCCATGCCTGCAGAGTCCCTTGGGACTCTGTTTAAGGAAAGTATCAAACATCTCGCCTTTAGCCCTTGCAGTGCTGTTGGCGTGACTGCTCCAGTGGGTCACCTGTCTCCTCTTCAGCCTTATCACACCTGGTTTCAGGTGCTATTAGACACTGAATATCTGGTTTGCTGAAATGGGTGGACTATCGTTTCAGAATACTATTTCATGCAATCTGTACATCCTCCTTTTCTCCCCAACTCAAAATAAGGCTTTAAAATTGCCAACTGCATTGATTTCCAACTTCACCTTGTGAGTTTATCTACCACTTTCCCTACAATATACAATTCCCAGCAGTGCTACGGCTAGATATATGTTTCTCAAGTACATATTTCTGAAAACTCACACTTCTACAAGAACATAGTTTTCTCTATTCCAATCCAGTCTGCTTAAATGGCCACTTTCCTTCTGAGCTTTTTCTTCCCTGTTTATCCTGAGGGGATACAGGCATGTTCCAGGGGTGGGAATTTTTTTTGGATAGAATGAAAGCCCTTCTCTGAATATAGTGCTGATGCTTTATGACTTAGCAGCCAATCGTGCAGTCATGCTTCTGGTTCCCCCACACTTTGTAGGGCTCTGCTTCCAGCGCTCAGTGCTGGGTGTGTATACTACAGAGGCTTACCCTTCCAATCCACCCCACCCCTTTCTTAAAGTTTCTTCCATGCATAGTGTAGCTATAGACCAGGGATCAGGAAATTAGAGTCTGTGGAACAAATCTGGCCCAACACCCATTTTTAAAAATTTTTATTGGAACACAGCCACACCCATTCGTTTATGTGTTTTCTGTGGCTGCTTCTGTGTTACGACAGAGTTGAGTAACTTTGACAGAGAACTGTTTCCCTAAACCTAAAATATTTACTATATGGCTCTTTACAGAAAAATTTGCCAACTCTTGGTGTAGACTATTGCCATGAGACTTGTTATGCACTGTTTCCATAATGGCCCCAATGTCCAATACTCACTGGACCAAGAGAACCAGTCTGGAAGCTTATCTCCCCTAATCAGATTCTCTCGCCCAGGAATTTGTGATGACAGTAGTCAGTGGTCCGTTTGTAAGTAGAGCTTAGGAAGCAGGTCCACATCAAGATGGAAGAATGAAGCCAATCTGCAGAGAGAAAAATGTTAGATCCTGCTTCCCCAGAAAACGAAAATGTTGGAAATAACAGCTGTGTTGGCTCCTTCTGACTTTCCTGTTCTTCGTTCTAGCCTCTCACGAGGCCCAGCTGCATATTTTGACCTGGGATTTCAGGAGATAACTCTGTATGTTTCCAATAAATTTCCCTTTTCCCTTAAGCTCATTTTGTGACCAACTCAGTGAGTTTAGGCCTTAGGTATGCTTAGGGTTTCATTCAACATCCTTTCCGTTATAAAGTTTGCTTCATCTTCCCTTGGCTGCACAATTCTCCTCTTAAACAGTTACACCCAGGGATAGCATATCTAACAACATCATTAACTAGATTGACTTTGATTCCTATGGGCAGATGGAAGGGTACAGGCCGGAGAAAAGGGTTAGAAAATGACTCCCCTGTGATAATTTCAGAATTTATCAATGCAGAAGTTTGCAAAATCTTTCACTCTCTTTACTTTTATGCTTTTGCAATGGCACAGATGGAAAAACATTTTTTATTAATGTCACAAAAACATGACCCTGTTTTTTTCAACTTAACGTTTTTGGCTTCACTAATCATGTGATGATTTTCTTAGTAGTAGTTGAATTTTTCAAATGTATTCTCAAAAGTACAGGGAAGAAGAAAAGTCTCTGGGCTTTAGAGGGCTTCTTCAGACATCTAATTAGCATGGTAAACAGCTGATAACTTAAAATGAAGCTTTGATTAAGGCAGGTAGATGTGATGTCCTCTTGCCAGCTCTTTTCTTTTTGCATTGATTTCATTAATATTTTACTCTGAAATTTGTGTCTCATGGACATTTTTCAAATAAGAAACACACGGTGGGATTGTAAATTGGTGCAGCCACCATGGAAAATAGTATGGAGATTCCTCAAAAAGTTAAGAATAGAAAATCATATAATCCAGCTATTCCACTACTGAGTATTTATCTGAAGAATACAAAAACACTAACTTGAAAAAAATATGTGCACTCCCATGTATATTGCAGCATCATTTACAATAGCCAAGATAAGGAAACAACCTAAGTGCTCATCAATAGATGAATGGATAAAGAAGATGTGGTATATATATATGTAGTGGAATATTACTCAGCCATAAAAAAGAATGAAATCTTGGGGCCAGTCTGGTGATGTAGTGGTTAAGTTTGTGCTCTCAGCTTTGGTGGCCCAAGGTCTGTGGTTCGGACCCCGGACGTGGACCTCGCACTGCTCATCAAGCCATGCTGTGGCAGGCATCCCACATATAAAATAGAGGACGATTGCCACAGATGTTAGCTCAGCAACAATCTTCCTCGAGCAAAAAAGCGGAGGATTGGTGGTGGATGTTAGCTCAGGGCTAATCTTCCTCAAAAAAAAAAGGAATGAAATCTTAGCATTTGCGACAATATGAATGGATCTGGAGGGCATTATGCTAAGTGAAATATATCAGACAGAGAAAGACAAATGCTGTATGATTTCACTCATATGTAGAATCTAAAATGCCAAATCAAACCAAACTCAAACTAACAAAAACAAAACAAAACAAGACAAAAACAAACTCATAGATACGGAGAACAGATTGGTGGTTACCAGAGGTGAAGAAGGTTGGGGATTGGACAAAATGGGTGAAGGGGATCAATTATAGGGTGATGCATGGCAGCTAGACTTTTGGCATGGTCACTTTGTAGTATATGCAGATGTTGAATCATACTGTTTTACGCCAGAAACTTATATAATTAAAAGAAAAATAAACAACACAGCAAACAAACAAACAGTTACCATTAAGGTCATTGTGAGACATAGTCATCAAAATATCTCGATTAGGTTTATTCATTCTTTAAAATTCGGGTGTTGTGATTCGTTCCTAGATGGAGGCAGGCTGTTGTTGAGGACACAGCCTGAGAAGGTAGTGATGGAGTTTAAGGGGCATAGCACTTTTTGATCTCTGGGCACTTTCAAAGTTTTTTAGGATTTGTAGAACTTACAGTTTTTCTTCTCTGTGAGAATATATGGCGCTGCCCTCCTAGAACACTTTAAATACAATTAATGGTTTGCTTAAAAGGTTTTAAGCAATATTTCACGGGTTCTTAGAAACGCTAAACTTGTCTTCAGGGAAGACACACTGTCTGTATAAGGAACCATGAGGTTTTTTGAACTTTATCCAATGCAATACTTTTTAATGCAATATCCCTAACTAAAGAATCCATAAACCTCTTGCATATACATTATTTAACATTTTCAAGAAATTTGAGATTTATTCTATATTACTTCATGCATATCTTACAGATTGTAAGATGTATGTATTTGTGGAGATTTTGCTGTTTAGATTTCTCTTTACTCAAGAATTTTAGGTAATTTTTCAAAGGTGTTTATATACCTTATATTTGTCAGCTGAATTTACTTTATTTCTTTAACAACACATAAGGCTTTCTGTGTGCTAGGCACAGTGGTGCATAAGCACTTTAACAAGACCAGTTCATTTAATCCTCACAACCATATGAGGTAAGTGCTATTATCTCCGTGTACAGTTGAGGAAAGTGAGGCATAGATTCATCAGACTAGCTTGCTTAAGGCCACACAGTCAGTAAAGTGATGGATCTAGGATTTGAACCCAAATCATCCAGCTCCAGAGTTACTGTTTTTAACCAGTCTTGGGTGTCAAATGCTTGCATTAACTTCATTTTGGACAGAGACAGAGATTTTACTCCTGGGAAATTACCTCTCACAATACCTGTGCTAAGAGTCAAAAACAGCCTCTCTTGAAAGATGTGTCAAGGAAAGTACTCTTGTGAGTCAGTGAGCTCTCTTGCTCAGAGATTCAACCGTCACCCATTTTTAAGCATGCCACTCTGTCCTGGGCAGAGCGAGAGAAGAAACTGGGCGAGAGGGAGTCATTGACTTGCCAAGGTCAATGCCAGTTCTAAACACTGTGCAATGTCCACCCTCTTCTGTTTGGAGGCTGGATTGAGGTTGGAACAACATGATCGGACAAGCAGTCCTCTATTCTAAACTACTTTTCTAAACTACTTATAAGAGGTAAATTTTCTTCAATCAACCCAATTTTCTCACATTACCACATGGCTTCAAGTTGCCATATGAGATAAAGGCAAATGTGCCCAAGGTCTTGAGGGAAGAGTTGTTCCTGAGAATTTTCTTTCCTGGCCAACAGCAGAAACTCCTTCGTTCTTTCATTAATTTAATGTTTTTCACCATTATAAGGAAATTATTTGACTTAAGTTTGAGTTGAGTGTCTTATTTCTTACTTGCCTTTTCTTAAGAAAAAATGTATACATGAATACTCTCACATTTTTTTTCTCTCTTTCTCTCTTCTACCTCCTTCTTTTCTCCTTCCCTTCCTTCCTCCTTCCCTTTCTTTCTTCCTTCAACTCAAGGAAATAGATACACTAGGTCCCTACCTGTGGCCAGAACTCGTTTCAACACAAGGGATAACAAGGTGATTTAGGCCATAATTCCCACTGTAAGAAGCTCAGAGTCTCGTGGGAGAGGCAGACATCAAGACAAAGAACTTTAAATCAATGAAATGAGTGTCATAATGGGGATATGCCCAGACTGTGGTATGTCAGAGACAGGCCCCTGAAAACCATGCAGGGTTGGCACTAAAGAAATGACAGTCAGGGGGCCAGCCCAGTGGCGCATGTTCCACTTTGGCAGCCCCAGGTTCGCTGGTTTGGATCCCCAGTGTGGACCTACGAACTGCTTGTTAAGCCATGCTGTGGCAGGTGTCCTACATATGAAGTAGAGGAAGGGCATGGATGTTAACTCAGGGCCAGTCTTCCTCATGAAAAAGA